AACGATTACGAAAACGACGACAAAGACGAGGACGATGCTTTCGCCTTTTCTTTATATAACTCGTAAAGTCTCTCGAAAATTGCAAACGTTTTAATTTTGAGATTAAAACTGCTTTCGTGCCAGGCTTAACAAGCTTAACTTGGCTAACAGCTTGGCCAAAAGAAACAAAGCTCTTCAGAGCCAAACTGGCATATACTTCCGCGTTCTGGATCCAAGGACGAGCCACCTTCTCCCCACTACCGCCCCTCTCATGGTCGTAAAACGGCTGCATGCTACATGCACTTTTATTAGCCTTTAGTGCAGTTGTGTTGACGAATGCACAAAGAACTCTACCCGTTCCCATCCCTATCACAATCCCAATCCCGCCAATCCCCCGAACGAGCTGCGGCGATGAAAAGAAAGCTCCCAGGTAAAAGGTGAGCCATGGCGGAGGATTGTCGAAGGAGCCAGGAGCTCCAGCGGCGGATATTGGCCGAGGGTTTAGTGTTTGCGAATTTAACTCAATTGAAGGTGAGGCAATGAATAACAAATGAAAAGGCGAATGCAATCTGGCGATGGTTACTTTCAAACTTTACGGCTTCAATAGTTATAAACGTTGGAGCTATTGTTGGGAAATCTGTTCCGCATTGGGGAATTTTAATCAGTATCCATTTTTCTTTTTATTTTACAAAAGGTTTTTAAAATAAAGGTAATAGGCAAAAATATTTCACTTAGATATTTTATTCTTTAAGAATATAATACCAAGTACGACTATTTTAGAAAATGAAGCATATTATTAACAGTCTCCTCTATTTTAACTTTTAACAATATTATTTATTGCTTATATAACCCAACATTTATTGGCAAATATTTTATATTTTGTTTAATTTAAGGCTATTAAAAATTAAGTCATAAAATCAAAGATTGTCAAAACAGACATGTAAGGAAAACAAATATTTTCTTCTTACATGTATAACAGATCGCTTTGAGGAAAGCATCATTTGTTATAGAATAAAAACCAGAGAACCCAGAGCAATCACTTAAGCAACCAACTCCAGGGAACTCATCACATCTGCTGCTTTTGCTGTTGTGGCTCATTAAAACACTGTTTCAGCTCCATTCTATTTCCATTCCCATTGCCAAAGATTTTATTTTGTCTTCCCAGCTCGAATTTGCATTCTACACCCAACCCAGTTGGGCCATCCGTCCGTCCCTACCAAAAGATATATGTATATGTATGTACGTATACCGGTCCAAAGTGTGGAACAGAGCCACAAAGCATTCCGATGCTTGCTTCATTTACCACATTGCCCCATGCTGCATGCATCATTCGGGAGGATTTCATCAAATCGTGCTCCTTCTTGTGGCATTTGCCTGCCACTTACTCCTTTCGGTGCATGCCGAACACTTTGAGTTTGAGTTGCCATTTTGTGGATATGTCGATTTATTATTTTTTATTGTTGTTACGTTTTACGACTTTCCTGACTGTCGACGGGGCAGATCTGCAGATATTTCGAGAAATTTACGGCTTTTCCTCATCTTTTTTGGTAGCTGGCACATAGCAGGCTCTCAGCTCTATCCATCCAGCTGCAAAGCTCACCGAAATTTTATCAAAATATTTCGCCAGCATCTCGCCAGCATTTCGTTCTTTATTGCACAAGTTAATTTTACAGCTCGATGTCAAAGTGCCCGGCACGGAGAGCTGCTCCCTTTTTTTCATTAGCAGCTGCCGAATGAAAGAGTTTTATCTGCTAAATATTTTGGGATAGAGAATTAAAAGAGTTTTTGTACAATATATTTTTTTTAATTTTTTAAGCCGATACGTAACAAAAATACCAAAAAATGGAACTTATTTGTAGATGGGATAATTTGTAAAATAATTAAAGGGATTAAAATGCAAAAATTCATTTCCAAATTACGTTGATAAGTCTTATAGTCTATGAGAAGTCTTTCGATTTTTCTGGTGTTTCAATTTCTGTTATAGACTATTGTACTTGCAGAAAGAAAATTGCTAGTTACTTATTATAACCAATATATTTTACATAATTACATACATATGTACGTAATACGTATACGTAATATTTTTGTTGATCAAAAATAACCCACAAAATGATGATTAATTTAACTAGCTAAAAAAAATACACATAAATTTACATAAAATTTTATAATGCTCATAATATAAGGGAAAACCTTCTCTAATTTACATTAATAATATTACGTATTCGTAACTCCAACAAACATGTTTCCCATAATTGATAGTTTTTATACAACAATGGAAAATCATTGGCGAAGACCACTATCTTCGCAAAAGTAGCTAGAAATAAATACCGTGAGAGGTATCTTGGCCATGTAATGCTTGCCAATTGGTACAAAAAACTATATAGAGGTAATACATACATATATGTATGTATGTGGCAAAGTTTCTCCTACCGAGCAGCTGCAGTTGCTGGAACGGGAGCTTCGTGCTGCTGCAACAAACTCATAAAAAGGCGCAGAAAAACGAGCGAGAAAACTTGGCTAACGACTTAAACGATGGGAGTGTGGATGGCCGTGGAGTGGGGCCGATTGCAGAGGAGCGAGGACTTTCGTGAAGGACTCGGTGCCGAAGAGCCGGAGCTCGGATATTGCCGAGTGGAAGGTTAGCTGCAGTTTGGACAGTAATAAAAGTAATAACAACACCAACACCACTGCATCTTGTGCAGCAACTTTCCTATATACATACATATGTACATGTACATAGCACCAAGTATATACATATTTTTCTGAGCTTGGATTTGTGCACCTTCCTCTCCTGCCACATGGCCCTGCGCAGAGTCGGTTTATGCGCATTAATGGCATCGTTTACTGGCTAACTGTACATGCATATAGACGTGCATCTAGCCAAACAGATCTACATACTTATACATATATATAGATATATATATATCTTGGTGGGTGTGGCACTGCAATAACGACAGCTGCAGATACTTAATGAGGGGAACAAAACATTCGTGCTAGGTGGGCGTCACCAACATTTCCCGAGCAGCTTATATATGTACATTTTTCTATGATGTCTTTATTATAAGAAATGGCCTCAAAGTTATTAATATTTACTACATATCCTGTAGGTTTCTTAAAAAAGTATTTTGAAATACTTTTCACAATTAGTTAAATTTAAAAAAAAAACAAGTGTCAAGGGTAGTCTATGTACTTCTTAGCTAACCCACTGCACTTTTTCATATAATTGGAGTGCAAATATAATGAATTTATATAAAAGTCATTTTCTCAGCTAGATCTGATTAGATTATTTTCAGTCCCCTCGAATCATTGTTATTTAAACAATCCCCACTCCCTCATGCAATTTTAATACACAGGCCCAAAACGAACAGGGCTTATAAATGTGTTTGGGTGTTATGGACATGGTTGCATTACGGCTGCAATAAATCAATTTATTAGATTTATTAGCGTCTAATAAAGTAATTTGAAAACATAAAATGCTAACAAAACTACGGCCATGCAATGCCATGCTCGGCCCACTAATGGCTTAATTACTAAATTAATAAGCCACGCCAGCAGACACATGATTGCTTGAATTGAAAGGACAGGAAGCGGAGCTGTTCCGAAAACGTGTTTCGAGCCGAGCCGGTGCACGCAAAGTGAGTGTACCAATGCAAATCTTGCATCGCCATCTCCCTGCAACATGCAACACCACAAGGAACACCAACAGCAACAGCTAAAGCTACTCGCACGTCAGCAGCAACATCAGCATTTAAGGAGCAGCGCACAGAGAGCTATAATAAAACGGGCCAATGGATATGAAGCTCCGCCTACAACGAAACTACCGACAACGATGACGACGACGATGGGGGGACTGCTGTTGTTGTTGCTATTGTTGGTGCTGCTGGCGTGCTGATGTTGGTGTTGGTGTTGGTGTTGCTGTGGAGGTAAAAACAAGAAAAACGAAAAAAATGGCCGGCGATACGAAGAGCATAATGGCATAAGCTCGGCCAGCCAAAGAGAGAAAGACAAGAAAAGAACAAAAAACGAGCAACGACAACACCAGTGGCCACATAAATAAAACTACAAAACATATATAAATAAACATATATATCTTAATATAATTCTTTGTAGAACTTTCGATTACAAAATGTATACAGAGACTTGCCTGTGAAGTTTCCATGTTTTTAATAAAATATTAAGAACAATTTCTATAACAAGAACTAAACGCAAAACTTTAATACAGGGGTTTTCTATTTTAATTTAACTAATATACAGATGAAATTAGGTTTTACCAAAATATTCAGAAAAATGTCTATAAAAATAACATAAGAAATGCAGGTAAAATAAAGTGGAATTAATAAATAATAGGAATTTTATTATATGTATATTTGTGGAGACCACGTCCACATGACTTAGTATGACTCGAACAAGTATATACTATGGTATATATAGCAGAAGAATTAACAATTTTTGTTTTTTATAAGTTTGTTATAGTCTAATATATATATCTAACTAACATCATCAAAATATTAAGAAAAGTGTCTTTAAGTTGAATTTAAGACCTCTGACTTCATAGAGCTCAAGAATAACTCTATTTTTAAGGAATGGTAAGCTTAGTAAAATTAATACAGAGCATAAGAGTTATTTTTATAGTAACTCCCAAACCACCATGTTAATTGACTGACCCAACGTAATGTCTGGAGTATAAACGTAATAAAATCCGATACTATGGGCGGCAATTGGTTCAATATCTATTGGCTTGGATTGAGTTGCAATTTGTGCCGACGTTTTTTCCGCCATGTTTACGTTGCACATTGCTGTCTGAAGTGCGGCACTTTTGCAGGCAGGCGAAATTCAAGAAACAATGGACTTTGATGGGGCACCCAAGTCGGGATAGTTGTTTATGTGGAAGGGATTTGTCAATGAAGCTAATTTTTAAATAAATAAACAGATCGATACCATAGCCCTTGATGAATGAAGAGCATGTGAAAACTGGATCGCTTTGAAATTTGACCAATTTCTTTTGATTGTTTTCGTTTCAGGCCAAGACGTTTTCCTAGACTATTGCCAAAAACTATTAGAGAAATTCCGCTATCCGTGGGAGCTGATGCCGCTCATGTATGTGATATTGAAGGATGCTGACGCCAACATTGAAGAGGCTTCCCGTCGAATCGAAGAGGGTGAGTCAACCAAACGGCTTTATAGCTTTTTAGCAACCCAATACCTATACCTGTGTGTAACATCCAATCGGGTACACTTATTAAATGGCGAATGTCTTTCGATCTGATTCAAACCAGGCCAATACGTTGTGAATGAATACTCCCGTCAGCATAATTTGAATATCTATGACGGGGGTGAGCTGCGCAACGCAACGCGGCAATGTGGATGATAATTTTTCATGAACTAAACTAAAGTAACGATAATTGCTATGATCCTTACTTTTAACCGATATAAAATATTTATTGTTCAGCATCACATAGTAGCTTAATGCTTCGGTGAGATCGTGCGCGAATTTAATTGTTGTCCTAGCTTAAAGTAACGTAATGTCCTTAAGATGCGAAAACCTCTGTATATATTTCGAATTTATCGGTAAGCTAATGCGCAACGTGGATTTCTACAATCAACAAGCCAAATATGTCGATGGATGAGCTGTGACCGCTGATTTTCGCACTATTTCTTCAATCAACATACCCCCTGAGATGTCTGATGTCTGGCCATTAATCAACAATCAACACTATTTTCTCTTCAATCAACAATCCCCCATGAAGGAGTAATATCAACAATCAACATAATTCTTGCCACCAACATATTTTATTTTATCGAAAAAACTCAGTTTATCTCCGAAAATCAACAATCAACATTGCCACATAAAGTTCAACAGTTTCTTCACAACGGTTGTATAGCTTTAGTTTAGGCATATTTAAGATTTGCTTTACTTAATTAACTAGATTAATCCTGGGTTGAATGTGTTCTTCTAATAATGGCCATTAAAAGCGCCCCAAACCAGTCATTTGTGTTCCTCTTCAGTTACTTTGGTACTTAATTGGTTAAAAGTACAAAAAATGTTTGAAATTAGCCTACAGTAGACATCGGGGATTGAATTATATTCTAAACTCATTCAAATAGGCTTATCGTTAATCTCAAAAATCTCCTCTATGTGTAAATTTGTATCTTAACAAGGAAAGTAGCAGCCCTTGGAATAATGTATTTATGGACTTCCCCGGGAGCTCGGTATCAAAACAAAACAGTTGTGAGATGGTGCACAAATAAAATAAATACTATATATTAAGGTTAACTATATCGATGTCTTGCGAAACTCTAATTGTAATATTTAATAACAACAATAATTCTCATTGACATTGTAAAATATTGTTATCAAATTAAGTAAGAATTAGCCGAACAGAATATTATACAAAAGGATAAACCTGAAAAGTCAGAAATAAACTATTTTCCTTAAACAGAATCGTTATGCGGTTGAAACCCAAATTCCCTTTCGAAAATTATTTAAAAGTGTCAGCTGTTGTTTGTTTTGTTGATGACATTAAAATTGGCAACGATTGCTTTTCAAGTTGTTGCCATTTCACGAAACCATTCCCATTGCACGTCCCAGCAGCAGCGATATTTGGGAACGGGGATCCAGGACCAGGGAGATGGAAGTTACTTGTGTCGCCACTGCTGCCGGGATCGTAAATGCATCATTAAACCGAAAAATGCATGCGAAAAATTTACGACATTTCCAACACCGTGTCTCAAAGGCCTGCACTCAGAACAATAGCTTAAAGAATGTTTCAGACTTTTACCAAAATTCAGCATATATATTTTTTGTTCTTCAAAATAATATACCGTTTGATTAAGTTATATTAAGAATATATAATTTTATATCTCAATTCCTAAATATTTTAATATTTACTCCTCATCCTTACCTTAATAATTTCTTATATCCTTTTAAGACTACGGTTTTTTTTTATTTTAAGTGTGAAAATTTAAATTCTTACCACCATTTGGTAGGAGTCCTTTATCCTGCGCCAGGTAGCTGGAATACTCCGGCCGTAACAGCTTCCCGGCACTAAACACGTCGGAATGGAATTTAGGATTCTCTGGGCAGGAGACTCTTCGGGTTACTGTAGGTAGGCAATGGCGACGTGTAAATGTGGGCACCATAAAGCTTAAAAGTGTTTATGGTTGAATTGCTAGCCAAGTGAGGAAAGGAATCATTCGCCATGTGAGGGGTTTGATGCTTGAGAATTGGGTGTTTTTTATTGAAATTTTCAAGCTGCGATTGCAATTATCAGCAGAGGAAGCTTATAAAGCTAAATTTTTTTTTAAGACCTATCAAAAACCATATATGAATTCCTTCATATCATACCCTTCTATATCATACCCTATTTTAAGTGCCCTTTATTATAATATATTTTATAAAAATTGTAATCGCATGACTCAGTACCCACAGCAAACTAGAATGGAATCTAACCCATTCCAATGACATTATTTTACGACCCATTCTCATATCCTGGCGTTCAGTCATATTTTAGCGACGCCTTTCTTTGTTTTCCCATAAAAAATAGACTCGCTAGTTTACCATTTTGTACGGGAGACCATAACGGGCTGTGAGCCATATTGGAGTCATCATCTTCATATGGCCGCCCAGTCAGCTCGGCTTGGTTTAGTTCAGTTTTGCGGCCGGGAAAGAGTCTTGTACAAATTCCTTTCCACTTTCATGCCAAACATTTACCAATGCTTATTAAAAACTATAGGAAAGTGCAGACCCAGCGGCAGCAGGAAGCAAAAATTTCCAGCTTTACGACTTCATATTGTGGGTGGATCGTAAAATATTTGTGCAGCGTCAACTTCTACTCCACATCCACATCTTTCCCTCTACTTGCCACATCGATGCTACTGTCATTTTTAGTGCCCCGCCGACTTACAAGCTGCCTCTTGTGCCAGACATCTGATCCCCTTGCAACCGGCTTACATATAGACAATCATGATTTATCTTGGCCATGGTCCGGACTCTGGACTGGCTAAATAATAAGCAACCAGTTTGTCATAAATGCCGCTGGCGTAATCGGGCTGGACATAGTTATCCATAATATTGTCCACGCACCCGGATGACTCTTATTCTTCCTGTCGCCTCCGAATTCCAGCTAAAGTCAATTCAACCGTGAACTTATTGTCGGGGTTTGTGGCCTGCAAACTGGAAGATTAAAAACCGCTGAAGAGTGGGAGGAAGTACTACTAATTTGGGGTTTAGGGAGTCTGAGTAATGTCCTGCCATTAAGGTGGAAGACTAAAGCCCTATCTAGGTCAAGGATTAGTTTTTCTTTTAAACAAAAGGGTATGACTTTTATTAGATTATTTTTAAAAAGTGAAGTTAAGGGATTTTGGTTAAAGGTGTTATTAAAAATATCGAATAATAATTCGAGTTTGAGTTAAAAAGTAATGTCGTGTCTAAAGCCTTTAAACTCACCAGCTTTTTCTTAATTGTTTTCTTACTGATTCTTTAATTTTAATATTATAACACATACATATAGTATTCGTATTTAATTAGAGAAACTCTTTAAGAATTTCAATGATTCTATACCCTTGACCAACTTTAGTGCCATCCGGATGGCAAATAAATTCCAAACCAGTAAGAAATCATCGAAGTGGGAAAGGGCAGTGCTCCTGTCACGGCTCGAGCTGACCAGAATGCATTCCTCTAATTAACGCAACACTAAGACTCTGTTTATGGACTAGACCAATGCGAACTGGCTATATATTAACAAGTACTTCAGCCAGCTAATCCGGTGGGAAGGGGCAGCCGGACTGCCCTCTGGCCCCGCTCCGAACCTCACCTCAGGTCACAACTTTTTTACGACTTTTTATTATTTCGTCAAATTGCACAATGGGCGGGCGGCATTAGTTTCGACTAGGTTGGGTCTGGCATTGACTGTACCTATGCCCCCTATATCTTCCTGCCTCACGGCCGGAGAAAAGGGGAAGTGCAAGGAGGCACGGTCATGCGTAATACCCCCAGAAGCCCCTCGCTGCCATCTCGTATGCTCTGGCCCTGTTTAATGCATTCTGCAGTTGGCGGAAGAAAAAATCCCATTAAAATTAAGTAAAATTGCAGCAGCAGCAGCAGCGTAATCGTAAAAACTTGGCATTTTGATGTTGCAGCAAGCAGTAAAATTTTGAAAAGTTTTTGCCACGCAGATAAGGCGGGGAGTCAGCTGAAGACAAAGGCTCAAACTGGAATTGGGATATATATGGATGGGGATGGAGATATGGGTATAAGCATGGGCACATGGATGTGGATGTAGGGGCGTGTCAGCTCGGAGCGCAAGTTACTCGAGATGGAGGCATGGAGGAGCTTTATTGTGCGAGCATCGAGCGAAGGTTGCACATAAAGTGCATGCCGAGGCCATAGGTGGGCCGTATTCTCCGCTCGGAGTCCATAGTCCGTAGTGCTGTGTCCTAGGTGTTGAGTCGGCGGGCGCCGGAGCCACATGTGCCTTTCAAAATGGCGCACATCTTGGCCGGGTGGCATAGACATTAAGTGCCGGCCGTAGTTAATGTTATGGCTTAAAAGTTTTATACTCTTTTTCCATAGTCTTTAAAAAAAACCATACTTTATACTTTAGTATAAACATTACATAAACAGGATAAAATAACCTAATTTTAAATTACGTTTTAAGTTGTAAAATATTTTACCTTTTAAAGATTGTAAACCGTAAAGCCATGGTGCTTTAAACAGAAAATATATTCCACAGGAAAGCTTAAAAAACATTCTCGATAGGAATTTCGATCGAAATTATTTTTGTTACCACTTTTAGCCTAAAATCACTTTTTAATCGCTAATCCCCTTGTCAATCCCCAGCACGCGTGGAAATAAACCGCATTGTAGCTCAATTCTACTACAACTACTACACCCCGATGGCTCTGGTCAACGGAGCCCCCATGTACCTGACCTACCCGAGCATTGAGCAGAGTCGCTACGGAGCGCACTTCACCCACCTGCCGCTCACCCAGATACGACCGCCCACACCCGAGCCTCTGGCCCTTAGTCGTTCGCCCAACAGTCCCAACGGTGGGGTAGCGGCCCATCCTCTCCAGAAACACGCCCAGTCCCTGCCCCAGGCGCACTCGCGTCCCGGCAGCAGCAACGGCACCGTGCACTCCGCCGCCTCGCCCACCATGGTCACCACGATGGCTACGACCTCATCCACGTCCACGCCAACGCTCAGCCGTAGGCAGAGATCACGCTCGGCCACGCCCACCACGCCACCACCACCTCCGCCGGCGCACAGCAGCAGCAATGGGTCATACCACCATGGCCACCACTTGGTGAGCTCCACGGCCGCCACGTAGCAATATCGCAACGTTGCTGCCGCCGTGGCAGCAGCAGCAGCGGCAGCTGTCCTCTTTGTGTAAGTAGCAACAACTAGACTTATTTAAGGTATTTAATTATTCTCTTTTTTTTTAATATTTACTAAATACTTTTCTTAGGAAGTGAAATATGTAACTTTATTTAAATAACTTTTTTTTTATGAAATTTCACAAAATACCCAAATACTCTCTTCGGATATTGCTTACATCAGACTATCCAAGGTTGGAACAAATTAGATTGTTTGCCGTTTCCGTTTCCGTTCCTGTGTCCATGACCGTTTCCGTTTCCGCTCCTCGACTTGCAGCTCATTTCGCATGCTGGCCCAAGCGCGTTGCCTTTAATCAAATCAATTTCGTAGCATAGTTTTATGGCCACAATTTGGGCTGCCGGCACGGGCTCTTTTAGCCAAGCAGCAGGACCTGCTCCAGATCCCTACGAACACCAACTTTCATCTGCCGAACGGGTTGCGTGTGTGTGTTGCACTTCCGTAGTGCGCACGAAAGTATGCAATGGCTTTTTCATCATTTGGTCTGATGACTGTGCAACGTGGGCACCGAGAGGCAGCAACAAAAGCAGCCAGCAGATGAAAAACAATTCCTCTTTTGCCATCACCCCTAGCCCCTGCTCTTCTATGTATATCATCCTGCCCTGACAATTGAAGCATTTGGCATTTTCTTGGTGCTGGTGTTGCAGTTGCTTAATTCAGAGGCAAGTGTTGAATTTCCATGCTGGCTGGCGCATTTTTGTTTATATTTTCATTGGGACGTCGGGCAAGACGAGCTTGTGTTTTGTGCTTCCCAGCGTTTAAGCATTTTGTAGCCTTTTGTTTTGCTAAGCGATTTGCTTTAATTAAAAACTCAAGTGGCGCCAGAAGCGGCAAGGGCTTCTCCAGTTTCCCATTTTCGACTGGATGGGGGGACGGATGGGTTCTTCTTGGTATTTTTTTGGGTCTCAGGTTCGGGAGCGGCCAATACTCAAACATCAAAACTTACGCTTCTTTATTTTCCCCTCATACTTTTTTTTTTATTTTACGATTCTGCCCGACAGACCACGAAGACGACACTTCAGAGTGCATATTTCAATGTTTTGGTCTCGTCTAAGGTAATAAAATATTCGCACTCCAGAATTATGAAAGAGGAGCGAATTGGCATCTAAATCTTGTCTAGAAACTGTGGCCCTTCGATTGTTCCGCGCCCATTAAAAACTCGGGGAAGTTGGGGAAACGCAACTGAACTCTTGTGTCACCTCTCACCGCACTCCTGTGGCATGGCTGCAACCTATACTTGCATCAAAGGGACGCGGACGCAACGCAGTGTTCAGTTTTTATGGGTCTGGATCATAAAACAGAAACTGAATCGCACGAGAGCTGCGTGAAAATATTTTTTCCTCGCTCTGTTCGTCATTGAAGTATTCCTGCCCTGTTCTAAGCCTAGAACCCCGGGCCGCAATTAAATTTTTTCCTTTTACTTTGCCAGAGGGCGAGACTACAAAGTCGGGCGGTGAGATCTCGTAAAACTATTTACAAAGTTCATTTAACTCTGTGACGAATGGGGGATCTGCCAAATCAAACTTATTAAAAGGACTCACTCGAAAGTCGGAAAAAAAGGAAGCAAACATCATCGGCAACAACAAACAATTATTCTGGCAAAACTCAAACTCATAAAAGCGGGCAAACAATACCGAAAACTTTTACGAGCCTTGGGGAGATCCTGCGAGCAGCAGTTCCTGCAAAGCATTTCATTTTGCTAAGAAACAAACACATACACACTCGCCGGAGGTGAAGAGAAAATATCCTTTCCAATGGCACTTCAATTCCGTTTCAAGTCGCTTTTGTTGCCGTGGCCAAAACGGCAATAAATGCATAAGTTTTCCATTTTACGATATTTTGTTTCCATTTGCGCTTCCGCGCATTTTCCCAGACAATGCGGACTCACCTTTAAAGCACCAGGAGCGCCGCGTTTCTCAAGAATATCTTGATATTTCCAACATGTAGAACAGTCTAATTTTATTCGAGAGGCAAGTGCCACACCTCGATTCCACTGATGTTTTGGCACATCGAAAGTGACAACCAGAAAGGCATATGAATACAAATTCTTCGACATCAAAGGAAACTATAAAATAAATTTAAAAATAATTTAATTCACATTAAGCAACTCTTTTTAAAAAAAAATTGATTATGCATCTTCATAAGGCAAAACCAAAATTGTTAAATGGTGCGATTGAGCTTAATTCCATGCAGATCTCAACTGATCGTTAAGGGCAATCATAAAAAACGACTTCCGTTCAGTTGGCCAAGTAGCAACTTTGTTGTAGAGTTCGTCTGGAGTTTTCCTTTCGGAAGATTATGCACAAACATAGAAGGAACATTATACAATATATTGTGAATATTATTGTTGCCATACAATTTCCGCCGATTTCTAATTTCCGCTGAGTTGCCATTAAAAAGTGTAAGTCCCTTCGTTTTTAATGCTCCATCGTCAGCATCGTCATCGCCAGAGCTAAAGCCTCCTCTGGTGTACACTGGGCTGCCATAATAAATGCATCGCTTGCCATAAAAATAAAGCCCAACAAAATAAAGGAATAAAACCAAAAATGTTATAGTTTTCCGCGAGCGCGGTCGAACGTTTTCGGTTTCAGCTTACGCTGCTCGAATTTCGCTCTGACATTCTGCTCTTATTTCTGCCCCATTTAGACTCTAGCTCCTCCAAACCCGAACCCAATCCATCCCCAATTCCCGATCCCCATTCCATATTTCAGACCACTCTGCTCTCTCACAAATACTACACATACATATATCTCCCATATATGTATGGGATATATTCATTTGTTTTCGGCGTTCGTGTTTATTATTCCCCATCGGGTTGCGTGCTGAGCTCCCAACTCCCAGCACCCTTCGCTGTTTATGATGCCGCGTTACGCTTCCTCTTCTTTTCGGTTTTTAGTGGACACGCATTATTAAAAAATAAACAATAATGTATGATGTATACAAAAACCCAGAAACCAAAACCAAACCGAACCGAACTGACTCCAAAACCCCGAGACTCATTTTCAGCTACTCCGTTTTCTGTGGAAACTTTTTTGTGGCAATCGTAAAAAAACGACTGAAACTGCAAAAGCAAATAAAAAATACATAAATCCGCTAAACTCCAGAAGTACAAAGAATATGCTGTACTCTACGAACAAAGGATATGATCCTTAAAGTTTTAAACAATGAAACGTTTCGACTAAAACCAATGCAATGCTTCAAGCATGAGATAATAAATAGTTCATTTGTAATTAAGGATACACCGGAAAATGTACTTTTAACAATATACATTTAATATATAATGGTATGCACAATAACATATAAAATATAGATCATAAAATTCTTAAATAACTCTATAATTGTAATTAAATTGTAAAATGTTTTTTAATACGACTGAATCATTCTGATCTTTTTACAAGACTCATATGACAATCGTGTTCATTTTCAATTACCATAGACTGTTCGAAATCTATTAAAAAAGAAACAAACTTAAGGAGTGCCGCCGAAAGGACTTAAGTGGATGTGTGGGCAGGGTGTAGGAGAAGTGGTTTTCAATGTTCGGTTGAGCACAAATGAGTTCGACGGCGACAATTAGAAATCAGGCAAAACGAATCGAGAATCGAGATTCAGCGCCTGCCGCATTATCTTAAAACGCGTCGTAAAAATCACATTTCGCATTATAAAAATCAAGCTCTTGGCTCGGGGCCCAGCTGCTTCCAGTATTATTCGGACCCGGTTGCTCCACCGCCTTATGCCGTTCTATCCCAACCCATCCCCGCCAGCGGTGGCCATAAAATTTGCTTTTACGAGCACTGGGCCAGAGCTCATTGCCTAAGAGTCCGAGTACGAGGACGCAGGTAAGCTGGCCCAGGATATCTTGGCTCGTCTTCGGCTTTGCCATTGCCTTTGACTGACTGACGGACATTACAATGATTTTAATGGATTTTATGGCCGAGACAGTGCACCCATATGGGCACGTTGGGATATGGGATCGTTGGCATTAAAAACGGTTTTATGCCGTACTCGCGCTTAAGGATATTGCCAATGTAATATTGAATTTCTAGCTAATTAATGACCCGCCACACAAATCTAACCAAGAAACTTATAATTGTATGCAATTATTATCTTTCTTTTTGCAGCGATAACTGAGAAATATCTGGAAACTACTCTGAAACCCACAATAATGGATGATGGCCCCAAAAATAACCGAAAGCAACAACTCAAAGTTTCGAATTCCCGAAGAAATGTTATCTAATATCTAACTAGCCTTTTTCCAATTCCAAGGAGAAGAATATAATCTAGAGTCTAAAATCTTACATGTTTATCCCCCAAAAACGTTTTCAAATTGATCTCAAACCGAAAGAAAAACTTTAAAATATCCATATATCATTTCAAAAATTTGAACTATACTGCATGTTGAGACTATGATTAATCATTATGTGTATATCTATACTATTAACTCGTGTATTGTATATAAATTAGTTAAATTTAAAGTTTCTCTGCAAAAATAATCAAGAATCTAATATAGACATTGCACAAACTAAAAATTTCTTCAGACTCATAATAGGCACACGTTTGAATTAACGATTCTAGTCCTAAGCTTGAGCACTTTTATCAAAAATTATTATTGTACAGCAACCGATTTACGACGAAAAAAATCTAAGATCAGAACAATTTAATCAAGATGGTTCAATCAATATACATAAAGGGTGTAATCGATTTGAGATTATCAGCTTCAAAACATAAACTCTTTATTAATATCCTATATAGAAAACATACATTAGATTTTTGTGGGCTGTGCGCTGCCATGTTAAGAAGCATGCGGTACATTAATACTTCGTGAGGACTGATCCGGCTGATCTGAGAGTAGTGTAGCGTACTGTTCTAATTTTAAGATATTCATTTATTAATTAACGTCTTCTTTTGTACAGTTTGACAAAAACCAAATATGTTATGCTATTCAAATTGTAGTGGAATTTTGTTTGAATCCGCTTCAACAGACATCGCGAAATAATATCGTTAAGAAAATTAAACCGTAGTAGAACACACATTTCACTATAAATGGAACTCATTGTAAAACACTAAACAATATTAATGGTATACTAGTTAATTTTAATACAATGCTTCGAAACCAAGAAATAAAAACAAACAAAAAACAATTATAAAATTAACTTGAATAAACATTTCGCTGTAAATAAATTGAAATTCTTTTTCTTATGGAATGATTGAAAAATTAAGGAGGCAAATTCGATAGTTAAGGGGTAACTTAAGAGGCCAATTCACATTCCAAAGAGACCCTTCAGGTCATCAATGGTCAGTTTGGAACTGACAGCTGCTCCGGTCAGAACGCCATTGGCCAATTCTAGTTTCTTGTCCTGCAACGCCTTGATCCTCTGCTCCACAGTGTCCGCGCACATAAACTTGTAAATGATCACATCCTTCTTTTGGCCAACGCGATAGATACGATCCTGAGCCTGGGCTTCTAGCTGAGGATTCCAGTGCAAGTCCAGCAGCAAGAGATGATTGGCACCAATGAGATTCAAGCCCACACCGCCAGCGGTTAGGGAAAGTAATAGGATACGCTTGTCACTTCGTGGATCGTTAAACTTATTCACAATGTCCTGCCGGTTCTTTACGGGAATTGTTCCATTCAGCGACAGCGTAGGCAAGCCCGCGTGTTCCAAGTGGTCGCGTAGTATATCCAGCACCGAAGTCCACTGCGACACTACAATAGCTTTGTCGTCTTTGCTTTTCAGAACTGAATTCTTAAGAATTTCCAAGACCTTCAGCATTTTGGACGAGGGTCGTTTCAGATTAAAAACGGGATTGGTTCTCTTTAGAAGATTTTTAGAAGCTTTCGCTACGCGAGCTTCTTCTCCGTGCAGCGGAGGTTCTTCGTTCTCATCCTGTCCAAAGCTCTCACTAGGATTAGAAGTATTGGAAGTGTCCTTAATGGTGAGTTTGTTAAGCTGAGCCAGCAAATCGATTTCAGGAGAGTCGCTGTCACTGCTATCAGCCTGCATGTTGCTAGCTTCTTCTCCTTCGAGCATCTTATAAAAAAATACAAATAGTGTTAGGTTTAAAGCTTCTGGTTACTATCATCTATGACTTACCGCATCAATCAGTCCTGGATGGCAACAAATTTGTCGCAGCCGCAGCAACAACACCAAAATTTCATGAGACTTCACCTCTTTTTTTCCTCCAGCCATTTTGGCGAATTTTTGGTGCATCTTATAGTAAGCACCATTGGGATCTTTGACTTGATTATAGGTAGGCTTATTGGCATCCGATCTGAAATTGAAATCAGTGTCCTTCTCAGCACGCTGGAAGAGAAACTGGGCAAACAGTGTCCGGGAATAGGTCATGACCATTTGGTAAACGTTCATTTCATCCTTGTCCAATGAAATCTCGATCATGCGCATCTCCTTGTTGGGCAAGTTATTAAGCTTGCCTTCCACCTGCAACTGAGCCTTGGTGCGCCGGAGCATAAGCGACTTCATCAAAAGATTTAGGCGGTTCTGCCCGCCGGCACTTTTGTTATCAATCCACTTCTTCCATGTGTTGAGATCGTCGAATGGCGAGCAACGAAGAAACTTCAGCAACGCATAAACATCCAGCTCCTTATTTTGGATGGGGGTTCCGGTCAAAGCCCAACGATACTTGCCCCGCAGATCACTAACAGCGATGGAAGACTGAGCCTTGTGATTCCTAACCACGTGAGCCTCGTCCAAAATGATGCGACGCCACTTGACACCGAATACTGCGGCCTGCTCTTTGTGCTCCCTGGCCACAATGTTATAAGTGGTAACAACAATATCGTAGGTGCGCAGATGCTTTGCTTTGCTCTCCCGATTATTACCATGATGGACGCAGACGGTCAGCTTGTTCCGTGAGACCTTAGACTCCACTTCGTTCTCCCACTGACGCAGTAAACTTGCTGGACACACTACCAAGGTTCCACCTTTGTAGGCTGCCAAAAATGAAGAAATTACAATAGTCATGACTATCTAAACATCTTATTTCTAGCAAAACTTACTGCCTTTGCGCCCCTTAGAGTTCCATCCTCCAGTGCTCTTTTTCTTGCCCTTCTCATCCTCGCTGTCGTCGCTGTCTGACCCTTTGGCCTCTTCGCTCTCCTGGCTGTTCTTACAGGCCAGTACGGACGATATCATGGTCAAGGTTTTTCCCAAGCCCATGTCGTCAGCAAGGATACCCCCGCGAGGACGCTGCTGCTCACGCCAAGCCATCCAGGCCAAGGCGTGCTTCTGGTGATCCATCAACGAAACTTTTAGGCCCTTGGGATCTTCGGCCAAAACGTTGGGCCCTGGGCAGTCTTTCAACGAGCCATGGAGGTCCTGAAACGTCAACCATTAGATAATTGCACTCTTTTTAGGGAATTTGTGGTAAGAGTAACCTTTCAGGCTTAGAATCTTTAATCTTGACTTGCTATTGATGACCGTCGCACAGTAACTCGTGCCTAACGACCCCAATTGAAAGCGAGTTACTCAGATATCCGTTCTGACTCATCATGATTAAGCATTTTTAATTTTGGTTATTCTGTTAGTAGTTTTCTTACCTTAAGGGACTCCAAGGTCAAAGCCTTTTGATTATTGAACGTGGCCATTCCCTGGGTACCAGTATACACGGGCTTGATCTGGTTAACCGCCGCCGATAGCTCATCCCAGTCAGGAGAGTTATCCTGCGAAAGCCTGGCATTCTGCTTACCGAAATCCATCACCTTAATAGACGGAATTTTTGGGGTCTGAACTTGAAGTTTATCCACCAACGCGCTTTTAGCAAATATATCAAGGCGCAAGCCTTCGATACGCTTTCTAAGCTGGGTTCCTTTGTCGGGTAGTTTGTTAGCCACCTTATCGTAGAGTGTTTCGGCATCGGTCAGTTCCCCTCGCAACTTTGACAGATTTAGCAACTCTTTCTCGTAATGATCTTGGCTCACCAACTTCTGATTCGGGTTTTGGTCTTCGCTCTTAATCTGGTTGTTACGCTGCATCATTGCCGCCAGAATCGTGGGCTGACTAAGATTTTTGGTAGTCTTGGCAGGAGCCCCAGCACTGCTCCTGGGCGAATAAGACCTCGAGGGGCGTACCAAAGAAGAGCCCGATACGTTCTCTTTGTTTTCAACAACATCGTCGTCTGCACTTGAACTCGAAATTTCGATTGGGGTCTCCTTATTGCTGAGGATCAGCACATCGCTGCTGCTAGATTCGTCGTGGGGAGCCACATCTTCAGTTGCAGGAAAAATAGTAGAATGAAGAGTCTCCTCAATGTTTCCCACAAATTGTGTACTGTAGCGAGGCGAGAGTGGCGGGCCTTCAATGGCCTGGCGGTAACGGGAGGCAGCAGCTTCCTCCCTTTCCCTATGATTCTCCGGGGACTTCGGCCCCTCATCACTGTACTCGATCTCGCTGTCGTCATCGCCTAAATCCTGGGGTCTTACTCCTGTGATACTCATTCGTGTGCAAGGTGAAAGAGCTCTCTGATCAAGCTCGTCCTCGTCGCTATCGGAAACAATGGCGGGTGGCCGCAATCTGTTTCCCTTAACTACCTTGGTCCCGGGACGAACGCTGTCCTCTTCGGAGTCTGAAGCGGACTCGTCCAACTCAGTATCTGCTGCCTCAGACTCTGTTTCGTCTATGACGACACCAGAATTGCTATTTTCGTTACTATAACGGTTGGTGGGGCGCGAGGATCGGCTTGATCGGCCTAAACACAATGAAATAGCAACAAATACATGATTTTGCCAAGTCTTATGTTTTGACTAATGCCTAACCTGAACTAGTGTTGCTGATGATTTCCTCCTCCTCCTCTTCCTCCTCTCCATTGCTGTAATATTGCTCACTGTCGCTCGACATTTTCAATTTAAATTTTAATACGAATTCAGGCACGCGTCGCCTCAGCGCCTTTTAAGAATGGAGTTGCCACCTTTTACACCTCCAATGCTGCCATCTAGTGGAAATATCGCAAGAACTATTAAACAATTCCCTCTTATATTATTTGAATTTATAATTATTGATAATTGATTTATTTGCCACCTGTAATAGAATTAAAATAGGATTTGTTTTTATTTAATTTTTTAAAGTTATACACGTTTGTTCATGAATTATTGTGGTGATCGGATCGCAACTTATCGCGATGTGCCCACCGCTATTAGTAGCGGACTTCTTCAAAAGTGGAGTCTTAAAAGTTTAATGTTGTCTGCGGCGTAAATAAATTAGTAAAGTGATGTCGCCGCCAAGTAAGTCATAAAACTAGATAGGCCTTATAGGGTGCCTGCTTACAGATAGTTATATATTTCAGATTCATTGAGGAGATCGGAATCTCCGCCCTGCTGCAGTTCCTGGCAGCGTAATTTAAACGATCTTGATTCAGTTACATCGCCCATAGGTAAAAGCCAATGTGTACAAATGTTTGTAATAGAATTGTTGTACATCATATGTACATACAAGCATACATATCACAATCAGCTCGTATTACAAAAACCGCGTTACTTGCAGATGAATTCCAAAGATATCCGAATACGCCGCCTGACTCTTGGTCGGTTGCTAGTGCAACTTTCATTAAACAGGAAGAAGCCGATGACATAGCTTCTAATGGCAAGTTTTATAAATGATTTTAATTTAATTTCAAGAACCAAATATTTATCTTCACTTTTAGAAGAATCTATAAAATCAGCTTCACTGAATCTAGAAGAGCATGATATGGAACTCTCCAAAGGTAGTTCTTGGAAAAAAAACCAAAGAAATTGGTTTAAAAATTCGAATTAGTTTTTAAAAAATTGCCATGTGACTATACTTTCAGATGAGTCCATAAAATTAGAGTCATCGCTCTGGTGTAGTTCCTTAGATCCTGATCTGGAGGCTCTTGATTCATTTTTATCGTACAAAGGTAAAAGAAAATACATATATGTTGTATACATATAAACGAATGAATTTCACAATAAGCTCGAATTACAAAAACCGCCTTACTTGCAGATGATCCCACAAGACCATACACGCCGCCTTTCTATCTTTCATTCGCTTGTGAAACTGTTATAGAACCGAAAGAGGACGATGGCAAGTTTTCTAAACGATTTTCACCTAATTTTATACATAATTATTCCATACTTTTAGAAGAATTTATACAATCAACTCCACAAACTATGGAGTATGTAGATTTAAATGAACTTTCAGATCGGCCCATTAAATTAGATTCACCGCCCGGCTGGAGCTCTTTAGACGAACCAAACTTACAAAATCGTGAAGAGGGCGATTCATTCGAATTTTCCACTGGTAAGTATTTGCAAAACATGAATATTACACCTTTCATATTTCACCTTTTTCTGCCTTAGAATATGCCAACGATGAAGGTGCTATTTTCCTCAGCGCCGAGGAGTATGCGCAGCAGAAATCTCAGGTAGATGAGCTAGTTTCCAAAGTGCTGGCAGCAGAAAAGAAATTAAATGAGGTGAAGGATCCAAAGGAAAAGAAATCCATAGCTGAACGGTTGGATATACTAAATAAGCGCCTGGAGACCATATGCGAGTTTATGGACACGCTGCGCATAAAAGAGGAGCCAAAAGAAGAGGACACCCCACGGTGGGCCAACTTATTCACCGGATTGAATCGCCACAAGGAAAAGTCCAAGCTGTCCTTAGCTGCTTTCTTCCAAAATAAGACAAACATAATAAACAGTCTTAAGGACTTGTATGAGCCATCGGAACCGAAACCAACGGCTGAGGATTTTGCAGAGCAGCCCAGCTTGCTTTTGGTGCCCTTGTTGAAGCACCAGAAAAGTGGTCTACGATGGATGCAGTTCCGGGAGCGGCAGAAGATTTGTGGTGGTATTTTAGCCGATGATATGGGTTTAGGGAAAACCTTGAGTATGATTGCCCTTGTGGTGGCCTCCCTGGAAGCAAAGAAGATAGAACGAGCCGAGAAACAGCAGGCTTTGCGAGCCAAATGGACCCAGCAGTTGTCTCTGAAGGCAATGAAAAAATTCAACTTGTTCGACGACGAAGAGGACGAGGACGAGGAGGAAGAAAGGTATGAACCGCCGGCAAAGCGCCAGTTTATGGCTCCAGGCGATGATCTATACGACTCTGAAGAAGAAGATTGCGATGAGAACGATCCCTATCCCAAGGCTGGAACATTAGTTGTTTGTCCGATGAGTGTTATGTGCCAATGGGCGCAGGAAGTGGCCACCAAAGTAACGCCGAACGCCTTAACGGTAATGAAAAATACAAACCCATGCATATCTTCAAAATTAAATTTTTATAATTCCCGAAGGTACTAACTTTCCATGGACCCAATCGTCATGATCAACATATTAAGGCCTTTAGGACCAATGATCTCGTCATCACATCGTACAGCACCGTTGTGAGCGAGTATAGAAAGTACGGTAGCAAATCGTTGCTTTTCGCAGTCAACTGGCATCGAGTGATCCTCGATGAGGCCCACATCATAAGAAACACAAAAACCATCGGGTGCTTTTCCATCTGTCAGTTGAGAGCTGTACACCACTGGGCATTGACCGGCACCCCAATCCAGAATCGGGCCATAGATGTGTTCGCCCTGATGCAGTTTTTAAATGTTCCCAATTTCAATGATCTGCAGCAGTGGAAAAAGTACTTAAATCATGGGATGGCCGGCCATCGCCGTCTAGGATTTATTATCAAGCCGCTAATGCTGCGAAGAACCAAACAGCAGCTGCAGGCTACTGGCGGTATGCCGGCACTACCGTCGCTAACTATTCAGTTGATCGCAGTTGAGCTCTCAGAGGAGGAAATGGCCGTCTACCAGGTCCTGTCGGCCATTTCTAAGAAAATCTTTGCCCAGTACCTTACTCAGCGCGAGAAGGGTAATTCCGATTTGAACTACTACTCGGTAGACAACGCACCGCAATTTATCGTGGAAAACTTTGACGACAAGTACTTGGAACTATATCACAAATTTTTGCGTTCACTTGGCTACGATCCAAAGGCAAAGATTCAAGGTATCGTTATCCTCGTGCTTCTGCTGCGTCTGCGCCAGTTCTGTTGTCACCCGGGATTAATGATTGGAGTGAGTAATTTTTCATTTCTTTCAAGCTTAAAGTAAGCCTTACTTTAAATTTAGATGCTGTGTGGATCAATGTCTGATGAGGAGGTGAATAACCTTCGAGACGACGCTGAAGACGTGGATGGTCCCTTCAAAACGGATGTTCTATCAGAATTGAAGAAGTACCATGTGGCCCCTGACAAAGAAAACTTCTTTGATGACGAAAACACAGTTTATAATATGAAAAAAATTAAGTTCGAGGAATTGGACTATGACATATCATCCGTTAAACACGAAAGGATGACTCCAACAGAGTCGTTCATTAAGCAAGAACCGTCTTGCAGCTCCTCGGCTTTTTCCTTCAGTGGGAAAAGGGCTCTCCAGATTTTGAGCCCCGACAATCCCATCTTCGACTTCGCACGCCCCTCCGCCAAGTTGAAACTGGTGATTGCCAAGTTGGAGGAGTTGTTAAACGAGACTAGCGATAAGATCATTGTGGTGTCTCAATGGGTCACCTTTATAGGCGTCATTCGACAGCGTTTGAATGATCTGTGCTGGTCGACGCTCGACTTCACCGGAAAGCTGTCTGCCAAGGAGCGCGAAATTGTACTGCGCGACTTTAATAATCTCAACAACGATAAGCGGGTTCTGCTACTGTCCCTTGCAGCTGGCGGTGTGGGCCTGAATCTCAATGTAGCCAACCACATGCTTCTGGTTGATCTCCACTGGAATCCGCAGCTGGAGAAGCAGGCACAGGACCGTATATACCGGTACGGTCAGAAGAAGCCCTCTTTCATATATCGCTTCATGTGTCAGGAAACTGTGGAACAGAGAATAAAGGCCCTGCAGGACTATAAGCTGGAGATCGCCAAAGTAGTTATGCCCGAAGAAGAGGATGGTGTTTCCACTCGCCAAGGGGGTGGTCTTAACCTTCAGGAGATGAAGAAACTTTTTTCAATGTAACCGTTTTAGTTTATAAGTCTAAAAGTTATTTTTTTGTTTATTTATCTTTCTTATACACACACCAAAAAATGTACTTACTGTACATTGAAATATTTGAAGACACCTATTTTTTTAGAACCGTAAGGCACAATGTTTCCTTAACCTGAAGTGACCTCATAGAATTTAGGTTACACATTATTTTTTATAAGAAATTATTGTTTTGTTTTCGTTTGACGTTTGTAAAACGTTTTTTTTTCGAGTGTTTAATGAGCTTTCTGTTTGTATTTTTTATATATTATACCATATTTAGTATTTAATGTTTGGAAAACAAAAATATTTGTTCCCACTACCTTTATAAGCTAAAATGTATAATTTTTTCCTTAACGAAAAGGTGCTGAAAACTTTATGTAAATCCTTATTTTTTAAATAAAAGTGATAACCATTCTATACTTGAATAATTCAAAGAAATTTCCCAAACCTCCAAAGAAAGATTTATCGATTTGTTTTTTAATTACTTTTATCAAAAAGAATTTATTTTCCTGATCCGGACATTGAAAATTCGAATTTGCAAAGGCAACAATCTTGAAGGGGGAATGTTAATGGTAAGTGTAACTGGGAAGTTCCTGTAGGCGATGTGGTAATAAATGTAGGAGTTGGTTAACTTCTCACTGCTTGAGGAGATCGTTCACAGCAGCGACTACGTGGCGTGCGGAGATGCCGAACATGTCGATAAGAACGGAGGGAGGGCCCGACCGCGGCACGGTGGGCACGTACAGGTGCTTCACAACAAAGTTGCGCTCGCCAGCCAGGGCACTCAGCACAGCCTCGCCCAGACCACCTTGCCTGTAATTGAGGAAAGCATTTGGTTAGCAAACCACCTTTATAAGAAGTTTAAGGCCATGACTTACTGGTAGTGATCCTCCACAACGACGACGCGTCCACCACACTGCTTGCCGTGCTCGATGATCAGAGCGGCATCCAGGGGCTTGATGGTGAAGGGATCGATAACGCGGGCAGTGATGCAGTTCTTCTCCAGCTGGTCAGCAGCAGACAGGCACTCGTACAAGGTAATACCAGCGCCAATGAGCAGGACTTCGTCAGAGCTCTTCTGGCGCACCACCTTGCCCTGGCCGATGTTCAGGGGCTCGTCGTTTTCGTAGATGACGCAGGTGTTGGGACGAGAGGTGCGGATGAAGCACACGCCCTTGGTGTTGGCGGCCAGCTCCACGGCGCGCTCAGTGCTCACGGCGTCCGAGGGGTAGAAGATGGTGCTGCCGGGAATGGTGCGGAACATGGCAATGTCCTCGAGACCCATCTGGGAGGGACCGTCCTCGCCGATGCTGCAGCCGCAGTGGGAGCCCACGAAGTTAACGTTCGTCTGGGAGATGGCACCCATGCGGATTTGGTCGAAGGCGCGAGTGAAGAAGGTGGCGAAGGTGGAAACGAAAGCCACGGTGCGACGACGGCAGGCAGCACCCACGGCAACACCGACCAGATTCTGCTCGGCGATGAAGCACTCGATGTACCGCTCCGGGGAGATGGTCTTGATCTTGTCGGAGTAGGTGGAGTTCTTGGTGTCACCATCCAGGGCAACCACACGATCGTTGTTCTTAGCGATCTTGGCCAAGGCAGTGCCGTAGGCCAGACGGGTGGCAATGGAATCACCCAGTTTGTAGCTGGGCGGGGAGCTGAGCTTCACATTGGAGATGTCTATTTCGGGAGCAGCACCAGTCTTGCTCACAGATTTGGGAGACAACTTAACGTCCTTGCACACGATGAGACCCTCCAGATGCTTGATCACCTCAGCGGCCTTGTCGCCCAGGGGCTTTCCGTGCCAGTTATCGGCGTCCTCAATTTTGGGGAAGTCCTTGCCCTTGAAGGTCTTGGCAATGAGGGCGGTCGGCTTGCTCTTGGTAATGGCGGCGCAGTGAAGGGCCTTGCACAGCTCCTCGACATCGTGACCGTCCACAACCACGGTGTTGAAGCCGAAGGCCTCGAGACGATCGCGGTAGACGTCCAATTTGTGCTGCAGCGAGGTGGCCTCCGACTGACCCAGTCGGTTCACGTCGAAAATCACGCACAGGTTGTCCAGGCCGTAGTGGCCAGCGAAGTGCAGGGACTCCCACACGGATCCCTCGGCGGACTCTCCATCACCAACGATCACGTAGGTACGGTAATCGGCCTTGTCGTAGTTCTTGCCAACATAGGCCATTCCAGCACCAACAGCCACACCCTGACCCAGGGATCCAGTGCCCACATCAATGAAGTTCAGACGGGGTGTGGGATGACCTTCCAGGTCGCTGTCGATCTTGCGCAGGTTCTTCAGGTCATCAACCGGGAAGAGGCCAGCCTCAGCCCAGGCGGCGTACAGGATGGGAGCCGCATGTCCCTTGGAAAGGATCAGACGATCGCTGGAGGGGTCACGGGGGTGTTTAAGGTTCAGTTTCATCTGCTGGAAGAACAGCACCGACATGATCTCGGCAATCGAGGAGCATGATGTGGGATGTCTGTGAGGGGAGGAAAAGAAGTCAGTATTATTTCGATTGTCCAATATATATAGTAGCTATAGCTATCTAGGTGAAGGCATTAAGTGATTGGCCTTCTCTAGAAGAATGGAAAGTTAGACAAGGTAACTTAGATACTTTAAAAATTCTAGATTTCTAACAGATACCTCCTACAATTATATTTCTAGTTCTACGTTCTAGAACTTTCCGAGTAATGTATCAAATTTCTGTTTATTTCAAAGCCCCTAGTTGTGCACTTCGTTCCCATGCTATCGAGTTCGGATAAATAAGATAAGGCCTCCAAGAGGCGTCTGAAATGCAGATCTGGCACAACTCCAACAGCAAAAATACGCAACTCTAGACCGGCAGGGGGCTCGTCTTACCCCTCAGAATTATAAATAAAACTTATCGCGCTCGCATATGGTGTGATTTCTATGAGTACTAGTGTGTTTTGTGTACATTCATCGCCATTCCACTTCCACACCGGTTTCTAGACCTTGAACTCCCCTGATCCTATATTGGCGAGAACGAAAAACCTCAAAAAAAAACAAGATTCTTGGATTACACGACGGTCTGGCGTGGTGATCTGCGTCTGCGCACGTGATTCCCAATACCTATTAGAAGTAGGTCCCCTAAATTCCTCCCACTTATCAAGAACTAATGAAGGTGATCCTCTAGACTCTAGAGTGTAGAGTGTCAGCAGTGACCCAAGCAGCTCATTTTATCAATTTTCCGTGATTTTCGATTGTCATGAGGGGAACACACTCGAGCTGGTCACCTCTATTGGATTCCTAATCGGTCATATCATTTTGAAGTGAGTAACTGAAACCGGGCTTATCTCGCGGAGGCCGGCAGAGGTCACATTTAGAGCAAAGTTATCTCGCGGGGAAAAAAGAAAAAACATGGAAAACTAATGGAAACGATAAAAGTGTTTTCCTTATCTGGTCGCTCTCTTTTTTTTTTATTATTTATTGTTTAACTAACAATCTAGTACCGTCTATCTAAAATCTAATTACAAACGAATTTAATAAGGTCGTAAATTTATAGTGTAGGGGATCATTTCCATCCCCGGTTCCATTAACATAGCCCGTCTCTTTCATTCCCGACATAAGCTATACTTTCCAATACTCTTTTTGAACCAGACGCTCGCTACATACAGATATGTATACAGATATATACATACATATGTTTATAATGGCGGCGTTTTGAAAGCCACGCACAAAACAAAACCAAATTAAAAAGCAGTAAGGGAATTAACAAAGCTTTTCAAGGTCGTCTAAGGTCAATAAATTAAAAACGTAGCAAATAAAGGTGAATGCCGCTTATCAGCTAGCTCGAAAGTAGGGCGAAAAATTAGCAAATTCGCGAAAGCCACTGGAAAACACGTGGCTTGGCAACAGCCGCTATCCCCCTCCTGACCTCCTGGAATACGTCACCGCCGGAGGGTCACCTTTGCCGCAACAAGTGCAAGGTGCACAACTTTTAAAATCACATTCACGTATTCAAACTTTGCTAATAGGCACTTGGCAGTTTCGAAAGCTTACCCAGATTTGGAGGCCTGGGTGGAGGTGATGGAGTGGATACGCAGCTTCTGGGCCAGATCTTTCAGGTCCTGCACGGTCTTGGCTTCGGGCTTGTGGTACGACATCTTTCTTATAAAGTTTGTATCTTTCCGTTGAAATAAACTATGTAGCTTGTAATGTGTTAGCCAAAGGGTGACACCTCTATGTTTGCAGAGCACCGACACAAGAAAAGTCGTGGTTGCTGGGAAGCTAAACTTGAACTGATGGACCGCTGCAGCCGGCGTGTGGGAACGAAAGTGCTCTTCCCGCCGCTGCTCCGGTCCCTTTTACGCTGTAGGAGCTCAATCTTGGAATAGTTCTCTCGAAAGCTCTCTGAAGTCGGTGGTGGGCAAAGCTCCGACTCTCTGATTAGCCCCACTGGAACGCGATAAGTTAACATTAAGGTGGACCTGATCACAGACTTTGATCACTAAAATACAAACACTTTATTAGTAAGAAAACTAAACTTTGTAGAGTTCTTCGAAAGAATTGTTATTAAAACCTAAAACTTAAAAATTTTTATTTAAAATTTAAATAAAAGAGTTGAAAATGAAGAGTTGCAGTTAGAACTGGATATGTATTGCAAAAATAGGATGTCCGATCATTATGAGAATATCATTTCATCAAGAAAAATAAACAAAATAAAAATAATTTTCCTGATTTATCGAGCCAGCTTAAGTGCAACCTACGAGAATCGAGGAGGAGGGCACTTCTTTTTATTTAATTATTTTAAAAAAAAGAAAAAAAAATTAAAATAAAAAATAAATAATTATTTTCCCGATTTTTCGAGCCAGCTTAGGTGCAACCTATGAGAATCGAGGAGGAGGGCACTTATTTTTAATAAATTATTTTTAAAAACTTTATTAAATAGTTTCCAAATTAAAGCATCTTCTGGAATGTTATCATACTCAAAAAAAGGATACAATTTTATCCTTCATTACTGTGTGTCTTCTAGGTGCCCAAATAATTAGGCAATGGAAATATGAGTGTTTACATTTTATGATTTATAATTAATAAACATAGTTAAACAAAGCTATCGCATATCCGATCAAGCAGTTATATGGCAGCTATAGTATATAGTCGACCGATCCCAGTCGTTCGGACTTCTACACTGCGTTTAAAAGAAAGAAGGTTGTGTTCAAATTTTGGACTCTATACTTTTAAAACTGAGAGACTTATTTACGTAGAAACAGATAGACGGACATGATTATATCAACTCAGGAGGGGATCCTGATCAAGAAAATATATACAGTATAGGGTCGGAGATGTCTCCTTGCACACTTTTGGACAACATTTTAATATTCTCTGCAAGGGTATAAAAACGGAAATTGTCGATCGTAAGCTTCCAAAGTTATAATGACCTTCAAATAGAGTCTATAATATAAACAATAATATTTTCTATATTTAAGTTTTATGCTTTTACAAAATTAAGTTTTATACAAGTTTTTTTGCAACGAATTAATCAAATAATATCCACGGTATTATTCAAAATTTTTACATTTCATTTTCTAACAATGAACAATTTAAGCACGATCGTTTTTAAGCTCTTTGTTTATATGGAAAATTTTTAAATAGACTTACCTTCTCCAGTATATAGTACTTATAAATGTCCCCCTATTAATGCCGATTGAAATAAGCCACAAAAAATTTAGAGCAATGAGAGTCACCCAGTGCTACATAAAATTTAGATTCAATAGAATGAAATATTTAGAGTAAATATTTGACGTTGATTTAAAAGAATTTGTTAATCAGGCCATTTTTAAGGTAACTAGATGCCACAAGTTTCATAAAAAGAATTATAATTAGCGTGTTCTTTTATTAATATTATGCGCACAAGTCGATATATTCGTTACAATACAAACAAATTTGAAGTCCCTATAGTTATCAATATCAACGGTTGGCATTTTGCCGCCTCAAGTATCGAAATAATGCATAAATTATTTAGCAAAATAGCCAACGTTAACAATAGTTTGTTTCAAATTTACATTTATTGCACTTAGCCAACTGAGTGCATCATTTCCTATGAATACGAATTTATAAAAATAGGCAATATTTATGTATTTACTTATGTTTGTTAATCGGTAGTAATTAAATCTAAACAACGTCATGTTTGTGCACACATTTCGTCCAATTAAAGCTGCTGCGAGTGCACAGTATGTCAGAGTTGGCAGCACATTGATCAGCTCAGCTATATCGTAGCATTTATTTATAAAAAAATGTACAAACGGTTGGAAATAAATTACAAAATAATAATTGCATCAACAAAATAAAACACAAAATGCTCAAATGCTCAAAAATGTTACAAAAAAATCAGATAATTCGTTCAACGAGCTATGCAAAATAAATTAAAATCGAAAATATGAAATATCACTAGCTAAACAGCGTTCTAACAGAAGGAAATAAATTATAATACAATATCGATGTGTGATCGTTGTGGTTAGCTTAGACTCAGTCCAAGGCGATGCCCTGTATCCACGCGCTCAGATCGCTGCCGTCTGACTCCATGATGATCTCGTCCGGCTCATCACTGGCCAGCAAATGCTGCGCTGCTGTTCTTCCGCTCAAGTAGGCGCCGTGTACGGTGGAGTAGAAGCTGGAATGCGTATGCTCTCCGGCAAACACAATGGCGGGCTAAAATACAAATATAGGGTTATGTTAATAGTGTTGATAGGTTAGGTAGTGACGTGCCTACCTTCATGGCCTGAGGAGTGGCATATAGTGGTTGGGCCAGGTTCTCAATGTCCTCTTGAGTGGCTCCCACAGGAATCGACGTGTATGCTCCACCTGTAAAGTCCTGCGACTTCCAACTGGTGCTAAAAGGAATGGAACTGTGTTAATGCCTATTTGAACATCTATTTAAGTGGCCTATACTTACCACACACATCGCTTTGGCTTTGGAACGTACGGATCCTGCAGGAAGTTTCTGAGTATTTCAGTGCACTTTTCCGCCACTGCCTCATGGCTGAGGGTCTCCATGTACTCTGCTTCTCTCCCCGAAACCCATCCAAGAAGCAGCGTATCTGTCATCTTTGCAAAGGAATAGATCTTCTTGAACCAGTTCTTGCTAAGGTACTCTTCGCTAGCCAGCTCCTTTTCGCTGCTGTTCATATCCCGCTTGTCGTCGTCCCACAGGAGCATCACCTCCGATATATCGGCGCTAAGGAACGGTCGCTCGTACTCGAGGAAAATCTTGTCCACGGTGCCGAACATGAGATTCTCGATGGATTCCTGCTTGTACTGCGGCAGCACCGGGTCAAACAACGTGCGATGCGACTTCTTCAGCACCCCTAGGGGTATCGTGCAAATCACATGCTCCGCGTGAAAGACTCGGCCGTCCTCACAATCCACGCGCACATTGCCTGCGGCATAATCACAATTGCTGCTGGAGTTTGACTCCACAGAGGCTTCACGAAGTCCTGCTCCGACCGTAGGCACCTCTGTTACCGTCCTCTCCGAATCGTCCGAGTTCTCGTCCTCTGAGTTCTCGTCGACGGTTTCCAGGCCGGTGAAAGTCTTTTTCCGCTTCCAGTGGATCTTCTTCACCGGGCATTTGGTCAGGATAGACTGCCTGGGTATCTGAGCACCCAGGGGTCGTAGGATGGAGCTGTACCCGGACGGTAATACTATGTTACCGCCCTGCAGCTCCGTATAACTACCTGGAAAATGGATAAATATTATTTTTTATGAAATATAGTTAAAGCTATGTGGGTTACCCAGCTCTAGAAGATCTACTTCGTTCATATTGTTACAGCCGGTGATGCAGGTCTCGCGCTTTAGCAGGCAGTTGAAAATGGACTGTTTCAGCCGCTTCTCCTTAGGATCCTGAACGCTGCTCAAGTAGATCTCGATCTCGTAGTTTATGTGCTCCCCCACACTGTGTATATCCGGCGGTGGACTGTACTGGCAGAGGAAATACTCATCGCAGCGTCGCAAAAAACAGACATACGCTTCGTAGATTTCCTGCAGTATGCTGAACGGCACCTGATGGCCGTCCTCTGTGGTGGCTACCACTTTGTGCGGCTTGGGAACGTTGACCACGCTGACTAGACCATGCTGCACGGCCAGCTCAAAGATGGGATTGCCAAGGACTCCGTGTATCCAGTTGGCTCCTAGTTCAATCTAAATGATTAAAAATAGAGAATATTCATTAGATAAGGTAGATATGCGGATTTCACTTTCAGGTGATAAACAGATAAGAACTGACCTACATATAAACACGTTTTAGGGGCGTTTTAAAATAAAAATACTGTATAATAGGCTGATATAAATTTATTTTTATATAAATTTGAAAAAATTATATTTTTAACATTTAGTGTAAGCTGCCTTGTACTTAATACCTTTTTAATTAACTTCCTAACTTTGAAATACATTTTCAAAAAATATTTTGATAACAGAAGCCCAGCCAAGCACGGGACTACGTGATCGTGGGCTTGCTGTCCCGTGTTGTCATTAGGGCATTGCACTAAATACGTCACTGTTGGTTAATTCCAAAAAGCCATCTAATCTAATCTACATATGATTTGCCTGTGAAAGTTGTATAACATATTTGTTGATAGGCTTCCGTAAAAACCGGCATTATAATGCAAATAAAAACATTCGTAAAATTCGAACTAAAAAATATGATAATTAAGGGTTTGGTCCATAATTGGAGTGAAGCCACAACTGGGAACAGGAGGCCCAAATGTAGCGTACAAAAATAGAATCGACGAAAAACGCGCAAAGTCCGCTGATTGCGCAGCGCTTGGAAAAATCTATAATTTGTTACAGCATGCCCCGAGTTCGTACATGCGTTTCCCCAAAAATTCTTTAGAACATTAACCATACTTTGGTCTTTTATGGGGGCTCCCGCTGGATGGCTTGGATTATATAACGCTACCTTTTGGTTGTTGCTGAGCGGTATGGACACGATTCGGCCGCCTATCCGACCTCTCGCCTCCAAGATGAGAAAATCCTCGCAACCATTCTGCAGCAGGTGATTGGCAGCCGACAATCCGGCCATGCCGGCTCCAATGATCACTACCTTAACATTGGTGGGTGTGGGATTGTCGCTTCCGCTGGTGCTTTCACCCCCGTTTCCCCCGCTCGGTACTCCTCCGCCGGCAGCGATGCTGGCCAGCCCCTCCTCCGTGGGCGAGGGTGCGGGTGTGGTGGGCTCCTCCTTATCGCCCATGGTTATATCTTCAATTTTAGCCTCATAAGCGTGTTATGTGTGTGCTGCCTAATATTTATTATTATTTTTTTATTGTCTTTGGCGAACGTTTGCACGCCTCATTTCACTTTTCTTGCACTTTTCATTCGCGACTGTTTTGACGTTTCTGTGACAGTATCGTTCGCGGGGGCAAGATGGTTTTGGTTTGGTGACCGTTAACATATGTTTATTATTGGCGGCATGGGTTATAGGCTCAATTACAATTTAATTATAAACTCTCTCATAATATTATGTAGAAATAAATACACTAAACACTAAAACTTTGGTCAAAGTTTTTACAACAGCTGTTAATTTTCTAGAGGTAAACAATTCCATTGTCCTTTTACAACACTAATCTTTTTATTTATCGATTATTTTTGACAGTGTGTTTCTATGGTTATTTAAAAAAAATTAGATTCAAAGCAAAATTATTACTAAATTATTTAACTTGACCTGGGTTTCGTTTCCAAAAATTAATTGAAATTGTCTTTAGTAAGGGGGGTACCCACTAATCGATAAGAATCTTCTGAGTTTTCCGGCAACGCCAGCAACCCCAGCCGCAGCCAACTTAACTTTGTACATGACTCTGCGGCTTTGACAAAAACAAAATCTCATTTCGTTCAGAAAATCTACAACTCCTCTGTTTTAACCGAAGCGAAGCAAGAAAATTCTATAATAATGCCTGCTGAAAACCTGGAGGAGCAGGGCCTGGAGAAGAACCCGAACCTGGAGCTGGCCCAAACCAAATTCCTGCTCACTTTGGCGGAGCACAAACAGGATGCTACCCTAAAAGCGAAACTTTTGGAGGCGATTCGCACGGATAATATGGCTCCGTGGTACGAGCACATATGCACGGAGCTCGCCTGGACGTTGGATAAGGACTTGTTGGCGCGCATGAAGGAGAACAATCGCGTGGAGCTAGAACAGCTGGACGCAGCCATCGAGGACGCGGAGAAGAATCTGGGCGAGATGGAGGTTCGCGAGGCGAATCTTAAGAAGTCGGAATATCTGTGTCGTATCGGCGACAAAGTAGCGGCGGAGTCGGCTTTCCGTAAAACCTACGAAAAGACTGTGTCCCTGGGGCACCGCCTTGACATCGTATTCCACTTAATCCGTCTGGGCCTTTTCTACTTGGACCACGATCTCATCACACGCAACATCGACAAGGCCAAGTACCTGATCGAGGAGGGCGGCGACTGGGACCGTCGCAACCGGCTTAAGGTTTATCAGGGCGTCTACTCAGTTGCCGTGCGTGACTTCAAGGCGGCTGCCACCTTTTTCCTGGATACCGTGAGCACCTTTACATCTTACGAGCTGATGGACTACCCCACCTTCGTGCGATACACTGTCTATGTGTCCATGATTGCCTTACCTCGCAACGAGTTGCGCGACAAAGTAATTAAGGGATCTGAAATACAGGAAGTACTTCATGGTCTGCCGGACGTCAAGCAGTTTCTTTTCTCGCTATACAACTGTCAGTACGAGAACTTCTACGTGCATCTCGCTGGAGTAGAGAAGCAATTGCGCGCAGACTATCTAATCCATCCCCACTACCGCTACTATGTGCGCGAGATGCGCATTTTGGGCTACACCCAGCTGCTTGAGTCTTACCGCTCGCTCACTCTGCAGTATATGGCGGAAGCTTTTGGCGTTACTGTCGACTACATCGACCAGGAGCTGGCTCGTTTCATCGCCGCTGGCCGGCTTCATGCCAAGGTTGACCGAGTGGGCGGCATCGTGGAGACGAACCGTCCTGACAATAAAAACTGGCAGTACCAAGCCACCATCAAGCAGGGAGACCTGCTCCTCAATCGCATCCAGAAACTGAGCCGCGTGATAAACATCTAATGTAGTTCGTAAAAAGAGTTCATTCAAATTCAACATTAATTACTGTGTAAATCTAATAAAAAAATATATAAACTAATAAAATAAAATGAAAGAAAACAAGTGGTTTATCCAATATCCAATAGTTCATAAAGCTTTTGATTTAAATAGATACTTGGTTTTTTTGCGAAATGTTAAAGGAGGCACTGGTTTTTAGAATCTAATTGCAGATACATGAAGAATCTACGAATTAAGATAATCCACTCAAGAATCCGATAGGTATTTCAGCAAAGATATACTCTGGCGATGAGCCCAAGAAAATATTAAAATAAAACCTAAAAACTAATTGGGGGGAATTTATCTACGAATCGTTTAAGGTATTCCGCTCAAGAATCAAATAGGTATTTTAAAATAAAAGGGCTTCGCGGTCGGCCATATTTTGATCCCCCAGAAAATTTGACAAAAAATGTAAAAAATAGTTTGTTCCTGGATTTTGATGCAGATTGATGGAGAATGGATCCACAAATCATTCAAGGTAATCCGCTCAAGAATCGGACAACTATTGGCAAACATATAGCTTTCGGTGTGGGCCATATTGACCTCTTAAGCATTTCCCCCATTTTTGCATGGGTCTACCCAGAAAATTTGACAAAAAATCAAAAAAATGTTTTGTTCCTGGATTTTGATGCAGATTGATGGAGAATGGATCCACAAATCATTCAAGGTAATCCGCTCAAGAATCGGACAACTATTGGCAAAGATATAGCTTTCGGTGTGGGCCATATTGACCTCTTAAGCATTTCCCCCATTTTTGCATGGGTCTACCCAGAAAATTTGACAAAAAATCAAAAAAATGTTTTGTTCCTGGATTTTGATGCAGATTGATGGAGAATGGATCCACAAATCATTCAAGGTAATCCGCTCAAGAATCGGACAACTATCGGCAAAGATATAGCTTTCGGTGTGGGCCATATTGACCTCTTAAGCATTTCCCCCATTTTTGCATGGGTCTACCCAGAAAATTTGACAAAAAATCAAAAAAATGTTTTGTTCCTGGATTTTGATGCAGATTGATGGAGAATGGATCCACAAATCATTCAAGGTAATCCTCTCAAGAATCGGACAACTATTGGCAAAGATATAGCTTTCGGTGTGGGCCATATTGACCTCTCAAGCATTTCCCCCATTTTTGCATGGGTCTACCCAGAAAATTTGACAAAAAATCAAAAAAATGTTTTGTTCCTGGATTTTGATGCAGATTGATGGAGAATGGATCCACAAATCATTCAAGGTAATCCGCTCAAGAATCGGACAACTATCGGCAAAGATATAGCTTTCGGTGTGGGCCATATTGACCTCTTAAGCATTTCCCCCATTTTTGCATGGGTCTACCCAGAAAATTTGACAAAAAATCAAAAAAATGTTTTGTTCCTGGATTTTGATGCAGATTGATGAAGAATGGATACACAAATCATTCAAGGTAATCCGCTCAAGAATCGGACAACTATTGGCAAAGATATAGCTTTCGGTGTGGTCCATATTGACCTCTTAAGCATTTCCCCCATTTTTGCATGGGTCTACCCAGAAAATTTGACAAAAAATCAAAAAAATATTTTGTTCCTGGATTTTGATGCAGATTGATGGAGAGTGGATCCACAAATCATTCAAGGTAATCCGCTCAAGAATCGGACAACTATCGGCAAAGATATAGCTTTCGGTGTGGGCCATATTGACCTATCAAGCATTTCCCCCATTTTTGCATTGGTCTACCCAGAAAATTTGACAAAAAATCAAAAAAATATTTTGTTCCTGGATTTTGATGCAGATTGATGGAGAGTGGATCCACAAATCATTCAAGGTAATCCGCTCAAGAATCGGACAACTATTGGCAAAGATATAGCTTTCGGTGTGGTCCATATTGACCTCTCAAGCATTTCCCCCATTTTTGCGTGGGTCTACCCAGAAAATTTGACAAAAAATCTAAAAAATATTTTGTTCCTGGATTTTGATGCAGATTGATGGAGAATGGATCCACAAATCATTCAAGGTAATCCTCTCAAGAATCGGACAACTATTGGCAAAGATATAGCTTTCGGTGTGGGCCATATTGACCTCTCAAGCATTTCCCCCATTTTTGCATGGGTCTACCCAGAAAATTTGACAAAAATCTAAAAATATTTTGTTCCTGGATTTTGATGCAGATTGATAGAGAATTGATCTACAAATCATTCAAGGTAATCCTCTCAAGAATCGGACAACTATTGGCAAAGATATAGCTTTCGGTGTGGGCCATATTGACCTCTCAAGCATTTCCCCCATTTTTGCATGGGTCTACCCAGAAAATTTGACAAAAAATCAAAAAAATGTTTTGTTCCTGGATTTTGATGCAGATTGATGGAGAATGGATCCACAAATCATTCAAGGTAATCCGCTCAAGAATCGGACAACTATTGGCAAAGATATAGCTTTCGGTGTGGGCCATTTTGACCTCTTAAGCATTTCCCCCATTTTTGCATGGGTCTACCCAGAAAATTTGACAAAAAATCAAAAAATATTTTGTTCCTGGATTTTGATGCAGATTGATGGAGAATGGATCCACAAATCATTCAAGGTAATCCGCTCAAGAATCGGACAACTATTGGCAAAGATATAGCTTTCGGTGTGGTCCATATTGACCTCTTAAGCATTTCCCCCATTTTTGCATGGGTCTACCCAGAAAATTTGACAAAAATCAAAAAAATATTTTGTTCCTGGATTTTGATGCAGATTGATGGAGAATGGATCCACAAATCATTCAAGGTAATCCGCTCAAGAATCGGACAACTATTGGCAAAGATATAGCTTTCGGTGTGGTCCATATTGACCTCTTAAGCATTTCCCCCATTTTTGCATGTGTCTACCCAGAAAATTTGACAAAAAATCTAAAAAATATTTTGTTCCTGGATTTTGATGCAGATTGATAGAGAATTGATCTACAAATCATTCAAGGTAATCCTCTCAAGAATCGGACAACTATTGGCAAAGATATAGCTTTCGGTGTGGGCCATATTGACCTCTCAAGCATTTCCCCCATTTTTGCATGGGTCTACCCAGAAAATTTGACAAAAAATCTAAAAAATATTTTGTTCCTGGATTTTGATGCAGATTGATGGAGAATGGATCCACAAATCATTCAAGGTAATCCTCTCAAGAATCGGACAACTATTGGCAAAGATATAGCTTTCGGTTTGGTCCATATTGACCTCTCAAGCATTTCCCCCATTTTTGCATGGGTCTACCCAGAAAATTTGACAAAAAATCTAAAAAATATTTTGTTCCTGGATTTTGATGCAGATTGATAGAGAATTGATCTACAAATCATTCAAGGTAATCCTCTCAAGAATCGGACAACTATTGGCAAAGATATAGCTTTCGGTGTGGGCCATATTGACCTCTCAAGCATTTCCCCCATTTTTGCATGGGTCTACCCAGAAAATTTGACAAAAAATCTAAAAAATATTTTGTTCCTGGATTTTGATGCAGATTGATGGAGAATGGATCCACAAATCATTCAAGGTAATCCTCTCAAGAATCGGACAACTATTGGCAAAGATATAGCTTTCGGTTTGGTCCATATTGCCCTCTCAAGCATTTCCCCCATTTTTGCATGGGTCTACCCAGAAAATTTGACAAAAAATCTAAAAAATATTTTGTTCCTGGATTTTGATGCAGATTGATGGAGAATGGATCCACAAATCATTTAGGGTAATCCTCTCAAGAATCGGACAACTATTAGCAAAGATATAGCTTTCGGTGTGGGCCATATTGACCTCCTCTCAAGCATTTCCCCCATTTTTGCATGGGTCTACCCAGAAAATTTGACAAAATATCTAAAAAATATTTTGTTCCTGGATTTTGATGCAGATTGATAGAGAATTGATCTACAAATCGTTTAAAGTATTCCTCTCAAGAATCGGACAACTATTGGCAAAGATATCTCTTTCGGTGTGGGCCATATTGACCTCTCAAGCATTTCCCCCATTTTTGCATGGGTCTACCCAGAAAATTTGACAAAAAATCTAAAAAATATTTTGTTCCTGGATTTTGATGCAGATTGATAGAGAATTGATCTACAAATCATTCAAGGTAATCCTCTCAAGAATCGGACAACTATTGGCAAAGATATAGCTTTCGGTGTGGGCCATATTGACCTCTCAAGCATTTCCCCCATTTTTGCATGGGTCTACCCAGAAAATTTGACAAAAAATCAAAAAAATGTTTTGTTCCTGGATTTTGATGCAGATTGATGGAGAATGGATCCACAAATCATTCAAGGTAATCCGCTCAAGAATCGGACAACTATTGGCAAAGATATAGCTTTCGGTGTGGGCCATTTTGACCTCTTAAGCATTTCCCCCATTTTTGCATGGGTCTACCCAGAAAATTTGACAAAAAATCAAAAAAATATTTTGTTCCTGGATTTTGATGCAGATTGATGGAGAATGGATCCACAAATCATTCAAGGTAATCCGCTCAAGAATCGGACAACTATTGGCAAAGATATAGCTTTCGGTGTGGTCCATATTGACCTCTTAAGCATTTCCCCCATTTTTGCATGGGTCTACCCAGAAAATTTGACAAAAATCAAAAAAATATTTTGTTCCTGGATTTTGATGCAGATTGATGGAGAATGGATCCACAAATCATTCAAGGTAATCCGCTCAAGAATCGGACAACTATTGGCAAAGATATAGCTTTCGGTGTGGTCCATATTGACCTCTTAAGCATTTCCCCCATTTTTGCATGTGTCTACCCAGAAAATTTGACAAAAAATCAAAAAAATATTTTGTTCCTGGATTTTGATGCAGATTGATGGAGAATGGATCCACAAATCATTCAAGGTAATCCGCTCAAGAATCGGACAACTATTGGCAAAGATATAGCTTTCGGTGTGGTCCATATTGACCTCTTAAGCATTTCCCCCATTTTTGCATGTGTCTACCCAGAAAATTTGACAAAAAATCAAAAAAATGTTTTGTTCCTGGATTTTGATGCAGATTGATGGAGAATGGATCCACAAATCATTCAAGGTAATCCTCTCAAGAATCGGACAACTATT